GAGACATTGCAGCAGGAAGCACCGCAGAAATCATGCTCTTGGAAGTGTATGCAAATGAAATGATGACAGTGGAGTCCTAACGGTCTGACCGGGTTTTAATACCCTTGCCTCACAAGAGCAGTGGTGTTCAACTTAGAACAGCGGATTTCCTCATGTAAAACCACATCAGGAGCGATTCCTCCGCATGGGGTGGGCAGGGTGTGTGTGGGGACCCCCTCTCCTAAACACTCCTGGTGTCTCCCGTTCCCTGCTCCTCTGCAGGCTGAATTCTGGCCCCAGCATCACGGGGTCCCATGAACCAAAGGTAACCCCCTTGGGATGATGCCTGGGAGGCACCGCTCTCCCAGTGGGCAGCCCACAGGGTCAGGATGTGGCTGCAGGGCTGGGATGCGGCACAGGGCTGCTGATGGGAAGGAAACAGAAGAGAGACCTGAGGAGCCTTGGGACCAGTGCCCTTCCTGCCGCAGGTGCGGAGTGGGAGCTCCCCATCCTTGAGCATCTGGGCTCCAGTCCCCAGGTGTGGAGCGGGGCAGGCCCCTGGCTGTTCTCATTCCAAACTGCTTTCTAGAGAACCTTCACGGGGCTGTTTCACTGGGTCCTTCTGTGGGCTCGCAGCTGGGGGCAGAGGCAGGGCTCAGCACCCATTGGCCACCATTCCCTGTGCAGCATTATCCCACTGGACCCCTGTGGCCAGCCGGGTGCAGCCACTGGATGTCCTCAGAGCCTCTCCCCGTGCCCGCTGCCAGGGACATGGCCCGGGATGAACCATCACCCCTGGCCCCATGGCCAGCATCACCCATGGGTGCCCCAGCTCTGCACTGTGCAGCATCACCCATGGGTGCCCCAGCTCTGCACTGTGCAGCATCACCCGTGGGTGCCCCAGCTCTGCACTGTGCAGCATCACCCATGGGTGCCCCAGCTCTGCACTGTGCAGCATCACCCATGGGTGCCCCAGCTCTGCACTGTGCAGCATCCCCCATGACACCGGCTCGGGGGCCGCAATTCGCTCTCAGGGACCCCTGGACGCTCCGGTTCCCAGCCCCTCGGTGCAGCCCCGAGTGCGCATCTCCCCGCGGACACGCGTGGGGCGCTCCCGCTGCCCCCTTTCGTCTATATAAGGCCGGGAGCTCCTGCCGGGGTCCGTCCCGCCGCCCGGCCCCGCCGCATTCTTCTGCCTTGTATGGGCCGGGACGGGCCGGGACGGGGCGGGCGGCACCGCCCCGGGCCCCGCTGCCCGCCCTAGGGCCGCGCCGCGGGCCGGGTCCCGGCAGAGCAGCGCCGGCCGCCCCGCAGCACCGCGCTTCGGCCCAGGTGAGGCGGCTCCGCCGCGACCCGGCCCCGGCGCTCCCCTTCCAGAGCGGGAGCGGGAGCGGGAGGGATGGAGCCGAGGCAGAGCCGGTGGGGCGGGATGGAGCCGGGGGCAGAGGGAGGAACGGGAGGGATGGAGCGGGGTGAACGTGGAGGGGACGGGAGGCGGCGGCTGCCCCGGGGGGAACGGAGGAAGCAGGAGCAGGGCGAGGCGGTGGCAGAAGCCCCGGGGAGCCCGGCAGGGATGTCCCAGCCGGGGGAGGCGAGGATGGGTCCTGAGCAAAGCGCTCCGTTACCGTCTGCAGTGACTTGGAGCTGGGACGTCCCTGGCGCTGCAGGAGCTGATCCGGCCCCCGGGGCTTCACCCTCCTCCTGTCTGGAACATTGCTTTGTCCCCCGAGTCTTATTTGTAGACGGCCAGAGCCAAGATCCAGGTGCATGTGATGGATGCTCCATAGATCCCCCAGTGACCTGTGAGCAGCCACAGGCAATAAACTGTTGTAAGGCAGAAAAGCTTTACTCAGCTCATTCCCTTCAGTCTTAGAGGAACGCTGTGTTTTGTTTAGCCTTGGCCATGAAAACTTGAGCTCCTTTTGGCTTCCCTCCCTGCCTTTCGGCACAAAGCGTTAGGGCTGTGATAAAAGCCAGAGGGGCTCTAAAGCACGGATGTGTGGGAGAAGGCGGCGTCCGGAGCAGCATTCCTGGGGCGGAACATCCCGAGTGTCAACACCCGCCGCCGCTGACCAAAGATGGTCGCGTTTCTCCGCTCACTTCATTTTTCTCCCCCCTCGCCCCCGGCAGGCTCCGTGCGGCTGTAGGAGGAGTTTGTGGTCACCTCCCCTCTGAGGCGCTGCGGCCAGATCCCCACTGAGGTGAGCGAGCCCGGTGATTCCCTTGGGAATGAACAGCGCAGGGCGCGTTGTGCTGCGGGGTCCTGTGTCCCATCCCCACCGGGCATCAGGAGGGTGCTGGGTGCTGGGTCTGGTTCACGGTGATGGGTGGTGTCTGTGCAGGGTCTTCGCGTGGTGGCCCCCGCAGCTGTGCTTTGGAAGGTTTGCTTGTGAGGTCCTTGTTCACTGGACGTGGTGGGAAGGAGCTAGTGCAGAACACTCGGAACCAAGCCCCACTGGGTCTCTGGTGTGCGACAGGAGCTGAGGGAGGGCTGGGATGAATCTGTCCTGGGGGTTGCTGCACACTTGGCTCCTGGTGCTGCTCCGCTCCTTCCCATCCACACACGGAACCCGCTCACTGGCTTCAGTGCCAGCGGACGCACATCAGGAGATCTCTGGTGGACAGGAGCTGGGAGCGGATGATGTCCCTCTGAGGCTGTGCTGGAGACTGCGGAGCAGCCCCACGCGGTGCCAGCACTGCCAGAGGAGCCTCCTGCATGGCCAGCTTAGGGGGACACCCCTGAGCACCATAACCGGGGTGGGTGCAGCTTCTCTTGGGCAGGGAGAAGGCACAAGCCCGGGGGTGCAGGAGGCAGAGAGGGGAGCAGTGCAGGATGAGGGAATAAGAGCCGCTGGTGTTGGGAGGAGTGTGGTGACCAGAGTGGCACAGGGCTCTCGTGCCAGCCTGGCTGTGGTCCCACCCAGTGCTAATGTCCTTGGACCTGCTGGGTGGAAGCAGCACTGGGATGAGCAGCTCCTTAGCAGAGGTGGCAAGGCCAGGACCAGTCTCTGTGGGCCTCCTTCTTGGCAAGGAGGAAGCCCAAGGCTCGGTGGCTGCGCCACTTGGCCCAGCTGAGTTCACCCCAGGTGCAGGGCACCATGGCCAGGCATGAAGCCATCTGGGTGTTGAGTGGGAACCCCAGATGGGCTCAAAGACCCAGCTACAGAATGATCAGGAGATGGATGACCAGGCTGAGCTGGACCCTGGGACCAAGCATCTTTCCAGGGCATGTTTTGGATCAAAAAGCAAACCCATGTGCTGTCAAAATCACACTAAATCCCCCTATGGAGAGGCATCACCCATAGAGAGGGTGCCAGGCTGCGTTCTAGTCCCAGCCAGGGCAGGGTAGACATTTCAGCCCCTTGGAAGAGAGATAGAAGGAGGGGAGGGAAAGAGCAATGCGTGGGGAGGGCTGTGCCAGCACAGGAGGAAGCTGTTTGCTCTGCCCCAGCCTGTCCCATGCTGGGGTCCTGCTGGAGGGATGCTCCCCAAGCCCCGCGGTCCCTTGGGTGCATCAGCATTAAGGACCCAGCTGGGCAGTGGATCAGCACACACAGGGCAGGCAGACCTGCTCACTGTGGGTGCTGCTTTGTGCTCCTCCTTCAACACAGCGTGGCTCCTAACTGTCCCCTGCGGAGAAGGCAGGAACCCAGGCACAGGGCACGGGGCAGAGCAGGAGCACCCTGCGTTTGCCCCATGGAATTCATTCCCACTCCATTGATTTAACCTTGCCCTCCAAGAGCTGCTCGCCAGGGAGATGCTGACCCAGATGGGGAAACTGAGGCACGGGGCTATGAGGGAGCAGCGGCTGCAGTAGGAACATGAGGGCTCTGAGCAGCATCGCTCTCCTGGGCTGACCCTGCCCCACGCTTTCTCTTGGGGCTGTATGGGAGCAGTCGTCACCATCCCTGTGCCAGGCGGGGTTTGACTGGAAGAGGTGTGAGCATCCTCCTCCCAGGCAACATCGATGGTTACTAGGGGTGCTGAGCACCTCATAAGGATCCCATTGGGTCCAGCACAGGGTGCCTGAAATAGTGGCTGCTTCCCCGAGCCTGGCAGCATGGGGGGATGTCACCAAACCCTGCTTGGAGGCTGTGAAGGAACACGGGTGGGAATGGGCTCAGCATGGGCTGGGGGCAGGACTGCCTCTGAGAGACCTGGTTTTCCTGCCATGGACCTGCCTTGGTGGTGTTTGGGATCCCAATGGTCCCTTTGCCATTCCCACTGGGACTGGCATTGCCACAGCTGTGTCCCAAAGGCCTGTCCATCCCACTGCTGCCCCTCTGGGCTGCTCCCTTCCCGTGGTCTTCATCACCTGTAATGAACAACAGCACCAGCCCTCAGCACCCACGGTCCCACTGCTCTCCCCCAGAGGCCCACTGCCCACCCCACTGCTCAACCGCACTGCTCACCCCACTGCCCACATCACTGCCCACCCCACTGCCCACCCCACTGCTCACCCCACTGCCCACATCACTGCCCACCCCACTGCTCATCCCATTGCTCACCCCGTATGTCAGGGCCCTCCCATGGGTCCCCGGGCAGCGCATGGGGCTCACCGGGCACTGCAGCAGGAGGGAGGCATCAAGCAGCCTTTGGCCGGGCTGTAGCCGGCAGTGTTGGAGGTGGATGGACGGTGGGATGGGTGAGGGATGATGGATGGAGGGGGAAGGGAGGCAGTGGAATGTGAGGAATGCGCCCGGAGCAGATAACCCCTTCCCGCTGGGTGCTGGGTGCTGTGGGCTGCTCTGCGCACTGAAATGAAGGATGCTGGGGAGCCCTTCGGCCCAGGAGAGCCCCGACAGAGGAGGGGATGCTTGGAGGGGGGGGCATTGCTAAGCTCTGCCCATCCCCGTGGCTCCCCGGCACTGACAGCAGTGGGGGGATGCTGGGTGCTGGGCTTGGCCCCTGTCCTGTGCATGGGGTGCAAAGGGGACAGGCAGGAAGCAGGTCTGGGGGGGTGCAGGCAGCAAGCTCCATCCAACCCTGCCACCACTGATCCCCCTCCCGCCCTGCCCCAGGTGCCCCCCCCACCGCCACCATGTCCAGCAAACGCGCCAAGGCCAAGACCACCAAGAAGCGCCCGCAGCGCGCCACCTCCAACGTCTTCGCCATGTTCGACCAGTCCCAGATCCAGGAGTTCAAGGAAGCCTTCAACATGATCGACCAGAACCGCGACGGCTTCATCGACAAGGAGGACCTGCACGACATGCTGGCTTCCCTCGGTGAGCAGACCCTGCCCCACGTGTCCCCCGGCCCCTATGGGGGATGCGGGGAGAGCTGCTGGGGGACCACTGCTGGAGCCTGCCTTTGGTGGGGTGCATCGAGGCACAGACCTCCCGCTTTGGGCCAGCCTGAGGCCGGCTGCAAAACTGGGGTGGGAGGAGGAGGAAAAGGGGTTTCTGTGCTGGCAGCAGTCGCCTGTAGAAGGTGTTTGTGGAGACACCCAAGGGCAGCAGCTTGGCTCATGCTGCTCACTAGAAGGGAAGGGACCCTCGGGTTGGAGAAGCTTTGCTATGAGCAGCCACCGGTCACAGCTATGGGGTATTTGAGTAGCCTCACCCCTGAGCATCGCTTGGGCTCATTCCCTTTGGGACAAAGCCCTCGCATTGCTCTCAGAAGGGGCTGGCCCCTGCACCAGAGATAACTGAGCCCGTTGGGACGCGCAGGTCTGGCCGCGCTCCCCATCCGAGCCCTTCCCCTTGGCTGCAGGCAGGGCTCCCAGCTCCCACTCCCTGCGGCACAGGGGGGGTCTGTCAATGATTGACCCAGCAGCCAAACCTGTTCTGGGGGTCCCTCCTGGCCCCGCACCCTCCTCCTGCTGGGCTGCGGCAATGGGAGCAAAGGGGCCGTGCGCTGGGGGCAAGCAGAGGAGGTTAAACCATGCCCGGTGCAGCTGCAGCAGGAGCAGCGTTAGGGACCCCGGCAGCAGGAGGCTTGTCCCCATGTGGGGACACTGCTGCCCCTCTCCTCTGGGGGTGCTGGGGAATGGGACAAAGCCAACCCCCAGATGAATTCCTGCAGCTGCATCAAGGCTCAGCCTGTCGTGATCCAGCCTGGTTCATTTATGGGGAGAGGTGCTGAGTGCGGAGCCCTGGGCACTGCAGAAACGCCTTCCCGTGCCCGTGGGGTGGGTGGACATGCACCCACAGATTCATTTGCAATGAAAAACACCCCATCTGGGTGCATGGCTTTGGGATGGGTGCTGCGGGGACAGGGGACCCTGCACCCACACCTCTGCCTGTGTCTGGCAGGGAAGAACCCCACTGACGAGTACCTGGAGGGGATGATGAGCGAGGCGCCAGGGCCCATCAACTTCACCATGTTCCTCACCATGTTTGGGGAGAAGCTGAATGGCACCGACCCGGAGGACGTCATCCGCAACGCCTTCGCCTGCTTCGATGAGGAGGCATCAGGTACGGGCACCGCCTGCACAGCCCCATGCATCCATCCATGATGAGGGTTGGGGCCAAAGCCTTTGGGATGGTCCCGCAGCCGCTCCAGGGTGGGGATGCGCATGGGGTGTCCTTGGCTCTGCACTGCCCCAGTGTCCCCTGTGCCATCCCTGCAGGCTTCATTCACGAGGACCATCTGCGCGAGCTGCTGACCACCATGGGAGACAGGTTCACGGACGAGGAGGTGGATGAGATGTACCGCGAGGCGCCCATCGACAAGAAGGGCAACTTCAACTACGTGGAGTTCACCCGCATCCTGAAGCACGGGGCCAAGGACAAGGACGATTAGAGCCTCACCTCTGCCCCCTCCTGCGCACACCCCCACTGCCCCTCGGCTCCCCTTTGCTGCCCCCCCATGGGAAGCACCTCCCAGGACCAGCACCCTGCATCAGGTCACGCTTGGAGGGGAAGCGCTCCCATCACTGCACCCCTGTGTGCCCACCCATCAGCCCTGGGCCCCCAGCACCATTCCCACCCACAGGCTCGCTCCACTGGGACCCCCAGCCTGGCTGTGACCCCCCCTCAAAGCCACCGAGGTGCTGGTCCCTGGGGCTGGGATGAGCATCCGAGGCGAGCGCTGGCCTGTGGGGATTCTGGCTGGCTCGAGCCTGAGCAATCCCCATCTCAGGACCATAGCACAGAGAGAAACCACCTCTGCCCTCTCCTCCTGCACTCCCTTTCTTCATGGTTCCTTCACTTTGTTTCCTCCTCCCTGTGTGTTTTATGGCTTTAGAGCCTGCGATCTGAGGGATTCAGGAGGCCGAAGCGCTGTATAAAACCTGATGGGTGTGATATGGAGATGTGCTGCGTGTGTTGTGCTCCCTGGGGGAATTGGGGTTGGGTTCAGGAACTGCAGCAACAGCCCCAAACGAGCTCACCTTCCCTAATTCCCTGCTGCCCCAGGGAATAACCCCCAGTTCTCCCACTTCCAGAGCCACGTCCCAGCCCTGAGGGCTGCCACAGGACAGGATGCTTTTGAGAAGCCCCCTTCACTGGAATACACACCAAAGTGAATGGCTCACTTTGGGGCACATGGGGTGATGCTGGAGATAAACCCAATGGTGTGGGAAAGGGCCTCCAGCTTCTGCATGGTCTCTGCTGTGCTGTGGGCAAACTGTCTCCCTCCAGGAGTGATGCTCAGCACAGGACTGACCCCAAAGGACCAGTTTGTGTGACCGGATTCTCCCAGTGTTGGGAGTGGGATGGGCTTGGTGGCCACCAAACCCAGGTTAAGTGTCAGAGGGGGGGCAAAGGGAGCAGGGGGTCCTGCCGGGGACAGGTCGGTGCCTTGGGAGGCTGCCTGAGGTTTCCAGCACCCCTCTTCGGGCTCTTGCTGCCCCATTGTCTTTCAAATGGCTGATGTTTAACAGCATTATAATGTCAATGGGCCCTGAACAAGCCCCTAGGGAGGGCAGGTGGGGAGAAGCCCCTGCCCTGGCCCCTTGCCCCATGGCTCCTGCTCTAGACTGGGTTTGCCCCAGGATCCAGGCACCCAGTGGGGTCTTCCCAAAGCTGCTTCCACACTACCTGTATCTGTGAGCATTTGGGCAGGTATTTGAGCTCAGGGACCATTTCCCTGGTGTCTCAATTGGGCACAAGGCTTAGCACAGCCCTTTCCAAAGGGTGGGAGCAAAGGCAGGCTGCTGGAAGGACAGGTTTGCACGGCTGGCCCCACACCTCCCCTGGGGTTCACCAGCCCACACCACGCTTGCATTAACAGAGCAATGGTAATCTGGGGGTACAGTTTCACTCGGGACAGTGAAGGTTTAGCAGCAACTAAACAGATGCTGTAAGGAATTCTCTTGTTTTCCTCGCTATTTAATCCTGTGCTCCACACAGTCTGCTCTGGATGGGCCAAAACCCTAAAATAGAAGGGTTTTTGCAACCTTTCTCCATACCCAAAGGGATACCCATGATAAGGGGAAGGAAGGGAGCTGCAGCATGGCCTGTGAGGACAGAGAGCAAACACCCGCTGCAAACAGGCTCTGCCTGGAGAAGGGCAGGACCTGAGGCCCTCGGGTTGTACGAAGGTCCCTGGGGATGCTGTGCGTGGTGGCTTGGTGAGGATGAGTGTGGGAATCCTCATGGATTGGGGGAATGGACATCCTTAAAGGGGAGGTCTCCTTGCTGGGATGCTGCTATCAGTCATCCCCATTGCAGAGGCTGAAGGGGACCAGCCTGCCTTCCATCCATCCATCCATCCATCCATGGAACCATCCATCACAGCACCCCATACAGCCCACGGGTGCCTGACCCATGGGATCATCATCCTTGCTTTGGAACACCTTCTGCTTTCATGGCAGCAGTGATGTGCTGAGCTGCTCGTTTCCTGGTTACTCCATCAGAAAGCCACCAAAGGAAGCACTCAGTGCTGGGGCTGTCACAGAATCATGGGATCAATCGGGTTGGAAAAGAGCTTTAACATCATTTTGAGTCCAACCATTCCAAGCATTGCCAAGGCCACCACTAACCCATGGCACTGAGGGCCTGGCCCTGCTACCACTGCCTGCCCATGGACACCAGTAACGTGGTGCTCAGGTACCGGGGTCAGCATTGACACAGCTGGAGGAAAGAAGGAGGTTGTGGGGTGCCTTGTGGGGATGGCCATGGGTACGGGTCCCTGTGCGGGTGTCCCTGTTTGGGTGTCCCATGCGGGTGTCCCTGTACGCGTGTTCCATGCAGGTGTCCGTAGGTGTCCTGGGTGGATGTCCTGTGAGGGTGTACAGGGGGGGGTCCCGTTTGGGTGTTCTTGTTTGGGTGTTCTGTGCGGGTGTTCCTGTTCTAGTGTCCTTGGTTGAGTGCCCCTGTTCGGGTGTCCCGGTGTGGATGTCCCTGTTCAGGTGTCCCTGTTCAGGTGTCCCTGTTCAGGTGTCCCTGTTCAGGTGTTCCTGTTCAAATGTCCCTGTTTGGGTGTCCCTGTTCAGGTGTCCCATGGGTATCCCAGTGCAGATGTCCCTGTTCAGGTGCCCCTGTTCAGGTGTTCCTGTTCGGGTGTCCCATGGGTGTCCGAGTTCAGATGTCCCTGTTCAGGTGTCCCTGTTCAGGTGTCCCATGGATGTCCCCGCGCAGATGTCCCCATTCAGGTGTCCCTGTTTGGGTGTTCCTGTTCGGGTGTCCCATGGGTGTCCCCGTGCAGATGTCCCTGTTCAGGTGTCCCTGTTCAGTTGTTCCTGTTCGGGTGTCCCCGTTCAGGTGTCCCCGTTCGGGTGTCCCGGATGGGTGCCGGGTGCAGCCCCGTTCAGCGGGTGCGGGGGTGTTGGGGGGGTCCCTCCGCGGGGCTGCCGCCAGGTCCCGGCCCGTTGTTGCTGCCCGGTGCGGCGGCGGTGACAGCCGGGGGCGGGCGGGCCGGGGCCGGGGCCGGGGGCGGGGGGCCCGGCCGAGTTCCTGCCTCCTCGGGAACAAAGGGAACTCTGTCTCGGCATCTGTCACCGCCGCCCACCCAAAACTTTTCGCTGCGCCTCGGCCGCCAGCCCCGCGCCGCGGGAGGGCCCCGCTGCACCCCCGGCACCGGCACCGGGCACCGGAGCGGCGGCGGCGCGACCCCGGGGCGGCCCATGCAAGGGCTGAGGCGGCGGCGGCGGCGGCCCGGGGGTAAGAGCGCAGCGGGGCGGGCGGCAAACATGGAGTCCCGGCCGGGCTGCGGCGCGGCGGAGCGCAGCCGAGTGGAGCCGAAGGGCTCCGGGACGGGCCGAGTGGACCCGAACCGACTCGAACAGCGCCGAGCCGGGCTGGGGGTGCGGGCACGGCGCGGTCCCAACGCCTTTGTGCGGGCCGGGCCGGGCCGGGCCGGGAGCCGCCCCCCGGCGTGAAAAGTTTGCGGGAGCCGCGGCCGGGCGCGCTCGGGGGTTTTGTTCCCTCCCGGCGCCGCTTCCAACTTGGCCGAGGTCGTTGGAGCCGTCCGGGGCCGGCTGTGCCCGGTGCGGGGCCGCGGGGGGGTCTCCGGCTCCTCTTTCTTTCTCCTCCGCCTCCCCCCCGGAGCGGGGCGCGGGGAGGGGGGGGGGGGGGGGGCCGGGTCCGGGCTCGCCGCTCCCCCCGCTTTGTGTCTGCGGGGCCCGGCCCGCGGTACCTGTTGCGGGGGGGCCCGGCGGTGACAGCGGCAAGGGGAGGCCGCACAATGACCCCGCGTGGTGCCTTCGCCCCGCAGTGGCTCCGGCCTCTTCCTCCGGCCGAGATTGGTTTACTTGGAGTGCCCCCCCTCAGTGTGCCGTTTGTTATCGGCTGCCCCGAGCCCCGCAAAGAGCCGGGGGCGGGGGGGCTCAGGCGGTGCCTGTAACTCTTCCCCCTCGGGGGGCTCATCTGCATCACCCCAAAGCTGCGCAAGGAGCCGGCCCCCATGTTTAAGGTGCGGGGGGGTCTGTGGCTGTGCTCCCCCCTGCACTCCCAGCCTGATGCCCGCTGTTTGGTCCCCCCCTCCTTGGCAGGCTTGAAGCAGGAGAGGTCTGCGGGCAGCTCCACCATGTCGGACAGTGACCTCGGGGAGGACGACAGCGCCACGTCCCCCGACCCCTCGCAGCCCAGCAAGAGGAAGAGAAGGGGCAACCTCCCCAAGGAGTCCGTGAAGATCCTCCGGGACTGGCTGTATGAGCACCGCTTCAATGCCTACCCCTCGGAGCAGGAGAAGCTCAGCCTCTCGGGGCAGACCAGCCTCTCTGTGCTGCAGGTAGGAGCCAGTCCCCACGTCCTGGGGGTGCTGCGGGGTCCTGTGCCACAGTGCTTGGGAAGGGCTTGGACTGCGAGAACCCTGCTGAAGATCCCAAAGGGTTTGGGATGCTGGAATCGCTTGCCACTGAAGGGCAGTGAGGAGCAAGTGAGGGAACGCAGGGGAGCAAAGGCACTGGCACATGGTAGCATCCTTTTGGGAAGAGGTCTGAGCCCTGGGGACCAGTTTTGTGGCAGTGCAGGAGGAGAGGTTTTTGGCCAGCCAGAAGATGGATGGGCTGGGATGGGGACCAACTTAGCAATACTCTGTTAGGAACAGCCACTATGGGTGGGAGGGCTTCAGGAGGGGCTGCTTTATCCTCTTCCCCTGGACACTCCCAGTAAAGGGGTGAGGGCTACTGCCCCTCTGCACACATCAGTGGGCAGGGAGCAAGCACCCTGGGGTCGCATCTGCAGCACCAAGGACTGGCTGGCCCAGCTGCCCCTGGTTACACCAAGTGTATTAAGGAAACCCCAGCCCAGCTGAGGGCTCTGGGGCAGGTGTTCCCCTGCCCTGCTCCTGGTTGTGGGTTGGTGTTCTCCTTGGGGTGCTGTGATGGATGCTCAGCCAGGAGCAGTGGGGATGAGCGGTGCTTTCCCTTTCAGCTTTGGCTCTTAGGGTGTCAGGAAGAGCTGCCCTGTCCTGCTGATCCATGGGAACACCAGCAGCCTTCCTGACAGGGAAGGAGATGCTCTAGTGCTGACAGCAGGGTAGGAAACAGCTCTTGTGTGCAGGGCAGCAGGCAAGGGGCAGTGGGTTTGCAGCTGAGCTCCTCTCCTTGGGCTGCACCTCTGGCTTCTTTCCCTGCAGCTCAGCGTGGCCCTGGGCAGGCAGACACCGGTGTGTGGGCAGTGGCTGTGTCTAGTTTCTGCCTTCCTGGCCAAGGCTAACTTTCTTTTCATTTTAATGGGTTATTTAAATCCTGGCTTTGCACCAAGTTTGTGTCCGAGCTGCTCTGAGGTGCTGGTCCCGGGAGGGCTCGAGTCAGAGCACGGCGATGGGTTTGGGGCTGCAGGAGTTTGGGATTGTCATGGACTGGGACTGGTGCGGACAGGACAAACCCAGATATATGGGCTCTGGCATACAGGGGTTTACCCAA